TACAACTCTGTCTGTAACTGTTTTGTTTATACTGTTCTTATGCTATTTTGTAAATGGATATCTGTTAATATGTTTTCCTGCTTTTATTTTTTAAAATCAAAAAAAAATTAAAAGAATAGAAAGATAAGAAAAGCTCCTAGACTTAAAGTTTTGAAAGCATTAATGGAGCTATGGAAACCAAGCACGGAATCAATAGTCAAAAATTGCAGACCTATCTTCTAAACATGATAAAACAAAATCTGACCACTTGGATAAAATGGAGAAAATATCTAACTACCAAACTTTAAGCAAGGGAAAAAAAAACTATTAACAAACTGAATAAATAATCAGTAACTTTTTCCAGAAGGAAAAATATCCAAATCTAGGTAATGTTTCCATTGAGTCCCACCTTAAGAAGAAATTATTCCAACAAACAATTCCAAGAAATAGGAAAAACAGAGAATGCTTCTTGACTAATTTTATGTAAGTAACTAGCCTAATTTCAGTACTTCAGTACCAAAGCCCATGAAAATAATGGAGAAAAGGAAAGAAATCACAGACCAATCTTACTTATAAACACAAAACTCCTGAACAAAAAACTTAGGAATACACACACGTACACAACCAGGAATGCAAGGATGAATTCACCATATCAACAGATTAACAAAAGAAAAACCATGCTTGAATATTAAATGGATTAAAATAAAGAATTTCAATAAACGAAGAACACTGTTTTATAAAATACAACATCAATTCATGACTGTAAGACAAAATAAAAATACACAAGCTTGGTTCACTAAAAATTGTAAAAAAGTTGCCTGTATGTTCAAAAAGTAGAGTGCTGAACACTCTGTAGCATCAACCATGCTTTCTGATGATCCACTGAAAGACTATTTGTGAACAGAAACAACAAACATTCCTGGTGTCATCACTTGACACTGTAATGCAAATGCTAAACAACAAAGGGAAGGAAAAAAATAACAGGTATAAAGATTAAAAAGGAAGGAATCAAAAAAGGCATTGTTTATAAAAGTTGTGGTTATGTGTACAGAAATATAAAAAGGATTTATAGATAATTTTTTTTTGGTACCAGGAATAGAACTCAGGACCTTGAGCTTGCCAAGCAGGCACTGTACCATGGAGCTATATCTCTGGTACAGGATTTATAGATAAAACACCTGAATTAATGAAGACTGACTGTAGTAAGGACCAAGGAAGAGAAAACT